ATAAACAGCAAAGGGTTAGCAAAAATGCTAATGAAAATCAAGGGTTAGCTAAAAGTAGCAAATTAAAAGATTTCAAAATCCAACTAAAAGCAAAATGAGAAAGAAGAAAAAAAGAAAGAAAAATTACAAAAAAGTAGTAAAAAAAAACCCTAAAAAGATAAAAGTCACTTAAAATAGCACAATGTTACCAAAACATTACAACAAAAAAACAGACAAGAAGATAATGAAAAAGGAGAAAAAAGAAGAAAGTAAAAAAATAGAGAAGGATAAAGAAGTCCAAGTAGCAAAATTCTAGCTAAAACTAGCCAAATGCTAGCTAAAATTAGCCAAATGCTAGCTAAAAGTAGCAAAAGATTATGTAAAAATATCAACTTTAGTTTAAAACAAATATCAAGCTAAATGTTGCAAATGGCTAGCTAAAACTGAAATGTAACAAAAAGTTAGTAATAAATAAAAGTAGTAAAATGTGAAAGAAAAAAGAAGAAAGAAAAAATGAACGGGTAAAAAGAATTACAAGTAGTAAAATACAAATATAAGTAGAAAAACGCTAGCTAAAATTAGCTAAAGATTAGCTAAACGTTACAAGTAACAAAGGGCTAACAAGCAGATAAAAGTAGCTAAACAAAAAAGGTAGAAAAATAAGAAAGAAATTATGAAAAACGGCAATGAAATAACAAAATGCTAGCAAAAATTAGCAATAGGCTAATAATTTTAAGCAAAAAGTAGCATGAAAAAACAAAAACAGAGCACGTTGAAGCAGATTTTGAAGTGATCAATGTTGTTGAAGGAATTTATAAAATATCAAAGCCTTCTATATTAAAATATTTGTAAAAGTAAATATTTAGAAAAGTTACAAAATGGTTAAAACCAAAATTTGTAGCAAATGGTTAACTAAAAGCTAAAAGTGACAAATCTGAATGAGCTGAAGGTTTTGATATACGAACAGCTAAAATAACAGCAAGTAGCAGGAGGTGTTAGGCTGCATAAAATACAGAAAATTCACAATCAGGACAAAATATGTTGTTGTTGTTTATTTCATTCAATCTTTCTTTATACAGGTTAATCCCACTGAGCCTCGGGGACTCATTTACAAGAGAGACCTGACTTTAATAAAGAGTGATGACAACAGTAGAGAATCATAAAAGATGCGTACAAATTTCTTTTTTTTTTAAATGCTTAATCATCAATCACACAAATATACATCAAAATGATGTTCAAAAGCTCAGTCAAATCCTAGTTCAAGGTGTTTGGTTTCAAGACGACTGCAAATGCTTTTCAACACTGATTGTTTATTACAATTATATCAAAACCATCATCTCTTCAGTCAGGACTTCCACTTTAATCTGTTTAATGTCTTTTTTTAAGTATTATTGTCTCGGTGGGGGCAGAGCCCTATAAAGGTGCTGGGTGGGGGCTCCCAATCCCAACTTCAACCTTGACTTCTTGCCAAGTGCCGTGTGTGTGTTTGTGTGTGTGGATGGGCTCCAGTGTCAACAAGGTGCCTTTTATAGCCCACTGTGCGATGGTCAAAGCCTGTATCTGCTGAGCCTGCCGGTAAGCTCAGCCCTCATCGGGGGAAACGGGGAGCCTCCTCTCCGGTGTACTATGGCTGGTATGAGAGCCTTTATAAACCAGGCACTCATGGCCCTCAGAGAGGATCTTCTTGCTCTTATCCTGACTTCAGTTTGCCCCGTTACACGGGACCAATGTGTCAAATATATTCAGACGTAAATAGAGAAAGGAAGCTTACTTGGATACATCAGACACTTTAAGCTTTTTATATTTTTTTTTGGTTTAGTTTAAGTTGTGAAGAATCAGTTTCTTCTTATTGACCATCAGTTGTACGCACATGCACAACAAATCAACACATACTGCTCATGTTTGCTAAAAGGCAACACACTTACAAAATTAATTTCTGCAGAGATTTGTGTTTAGACTGCAGCTTCACTCAGCAACAGAACTTCATTTTTCCTAAGAGACGCCTCAATCTCCTGCTGTGTACGACTTCTATTATTATTAACAAACTAACCCTTAACATGGATTTGTTCATTACTGTGGGGTTTCTGTGCACATTTTATTTGCTGTCAGCCAACTGTGATTATAATTAGAGGTGTCGTTCGAGCCAGAGTTTTAAACTGAAATAATCTGCTGTTGAGAAAAGACGAAGTTTGTAGCCATTTTGATCAAACTGTTAATGTTATGCACTACTGAACTGTATTTCCTGTGACATATGGAGAAGGCATGCTCTGTATGAGAGGCCATTTAGGGCATATTTAGTCTGCTTACAGGGTGCAGGGAGATTTATTGTCATACACACCACACGTGATACATGAGGTGGGACAAAACTAACTAGGGTCCCAGTTACATCCAACAAAAACACAAATTGTACTTTGTAAAGAAAAACATTAGTACGATCCGAGTCATGAACTAAGAATATATTACATTCACTAAACTAAGAATGCACTAAGCACTAATGGTACAAAAACAATGTGCCATAAACAACAACAGCACGAACATGAGTCTGTATGACCAAATGAGAACTAATGAACACAGCAACATGAAATAATCAGCAGCATGAAATCAGCATCATGGGTAGTCAGCAGCACATATTAACAACCAAGTGGCATTACAGCGATTTTTCAGGGGTTTTTTCACAGTAATTTTCACAGTGATTTTTCCTGGTTAGAGATTCATGAGTCTAACAGCCTCAGGGTAGAAGCTGTTCCTCAGCCTGGTGGTGCTACACTGAATGCTCCTCAACCTCCTTCCTGAGGGGAGTGGGGCAAAAAGTGTGAGTGCTGGGTGAGTGGGGTCCTTCATGATGCAGGTGGCTCTCTTCCTGAATCTGGAGGTGTAAATGTCTGTGATGGTGGGGAGACTGACTCCGGCAGACTTCTGTGCGGCCTTCACCACTCTCTGCAAAGCTTTTCTTTCTGCATCTGTGCAGCCTCCATGCCACACGTTGATGCTGGAGGACAGGATGCTCTCCACTGCACATCTGTAGAAGGAGGTGAGGACTGAGCTTCCCAGACCAGTTCGCCTCAGCTGCCTGAGGAAGTAGAGTCTCTGATGAGCTTTCTTGATCAGACTGGTAGTGTTGTTGACCCAGCTGATGTTGTCATTCATGTGCACACCCAATTACTTATAGCTGGAGACCACTTCCACCACAGATCCTCCTATGTTCACGTGGGGTAGGTCTGTTTATTCCTTCTCAAGTCCACGACCATCTCCTTCGTCTTATTCACATTGATGTGAAAGTTGTTCGTCAGAGCATATTCACTATCAAACTCTCAGCTACTACCACAATAAATTTTAGCTCAAAACCTGTAAAAAGGACCAATACAGCCATTTGTGTGCCAATTGATTCTATTAGTTGTGGCAGCCACCTTGAATTGGACTAACTCCAAAGATTACCCAGTTGTAGATGATGGTGATTCAAATCTGTTCAGTGGTTCATGAAATATTTTGCTAAACAACAAGATAGACTCCAACAGTTTACAGTAAAATGTGAAGCAAAGGCTCTTGTAATTATTGTCACTTGGAGGCTGTGTTGTGTGAATACCATGTCAAATTTAGCACATTTTTAGAATTGTCCATTTTTTGCAATTTTGGGGTTTTCTAAGGTCGGTCGGTTGTGGAGGCCATCTTGAGTGGAGGGTGACTCCAAAAGTTCATCAGCTTAAAGGTGAACATCTAATGATTATCATTCACTGGATCAACCAATAATTCAGCAATTACTTTCTGTAGTTTTCGTTAAATTTTGCGCAGTGGTTCATGACATATTTCTCAACTGTATACTCGTAAAAGACATGCACCTTGCAGTGTTACAACCTTCTTTTAAGAATTGCTTCCTAGTTAGTTTTCCACACACTTAAATTATTGGAAAAATCGGCTTTCAAAACTCTGAATGATCAAAATGGGCTTGTCAAATTTCAGAATAACTTCATGTGTCACAAACTACAGAATAAAGTATCTGAATAAAGTGGAATGGAAGTGACGGATTCTTTTATGATCACAGGGGCAGAGCTGAACAAAAATCTGAATGCTCTTTAAAAAGATGGTTTTAAAAAAAAACCTCCTATGGTTCCTTTTGAAAAAAGCAAAATTGCATTTTTTTTTTTTTTTTTTTACCGAAAAGTAGTTCTTGAATAAACTCTAAATGGACAGAAGCTCCCTAACCTCTTTTCTGCGTCTGCAAATGAATTTCTGGGACTGAGAATGACTGCATTAACTTTTCGAGGCCAGGAGGAAACCCACTGGGAGATAGTGGTGGGCAGGTGCAAAATCAATTTCCAATCTCAGCAGAGATAAAAATAAATAAAATAAAAGTTTAAAAAGTTGTAACCCACTAGTTTTCTGTTGAGCACTGTAAATCAATTTGTGTCAAGATAAAAACCTCACTTGAGTTGAAAAAAGCACAAACAGATATAAAGGTCACCTCCTAAAGGGTGTCACAAAAACAACAAAAACTGCAGAATTGACTGGAGTTTCTCTGCAGTTTGTGAATCAGGGCGAACACCGTACGGTTGTTTGTTACAAACTTTCACCCCACTGAATAGACGGCAGCTGCGTCAGGCTCATGACTCATAGAGTGCTTTGCAAGAAAGGAATGTCAAAGGTCTCCTGTCGTCAGAAACGCAGAGCACCAACCTGCTGCTGAGACCAACGTTTGGTCCTAAACGAGGAAACGCAGTCACGACTGTGATCGCATCATCAATATCAAGACTGCAACCGTAAAAAACACGTGGAGGTTGATTTGTGTCTGTGTTGGATGCTTGGCCTCTCTGTGTGTCAGCCTGAACAACTGCTAACACATACTGTCGCAGGGATCCGGTTTTTAGTAGCCCAGGGTCAGGATGTTCATCTTTATGCTTTCCCCTACCCCCTAAACGCCTTTTTATAACCCCCACTGCACTCCCCTATTTCATCCTCACCCGCTTACCCGTCTGCTAAAATAAACTCGGTGAAGTAAGTCCTGGAGGCATCCTGAGTTTAGTTTTATACAGGCTGTTCCTGCTCTGCTGAGGAGTGGAAGGGCTGACAGTGGAAGCATCTCAGATCCGGTGCAGGACGAAGGACGAAACCACAGAGACCAGTCCAATCAGACAGAAACATAGGTAAGAAATGGGGCAGGGAGCCTGCAGACCTGAAGGAAAGGAGTGTCCTTGTTCACGAGGGAAGCCATGCGTGTTTGTCATCCTGGTTTTGCTTCAGTGTGAATTTTGATTATTAATGGTGCTCCCTTTTTTCTTGGTTTCAGCTTTTGGTTCATCTTTTACCCTCACAGTATTGTCTCGCTAGTACTCTCGCAATTTAGAAAAATCAAAATATAAAATTAAAATAAAACGCCAAAATATGCAGCTCAACCGGGGATAGCACGTTGTGAACTTTGGTAGCAGTACATCGTGCAAAACAGACTAAATTTGCTAAACGTGTTCCCGCACACAACAATGGGATTTCTGTAAAACAACTGGAAAAACTTAGTTCTCTTTGGAGCTCTACAACTTAGTCCACAGCAGAAACATTGTTCAGTGTTCAAACGGGTCATGAAATGTTGGACTGTACATGCCTGAACAGGAATTTTTACATCTTTAACAGTTTGTACACAATGATGATTTAAATTTTACAGTAAATGCTGAAATAGAGTTTGATGATGTCTTTCACTCTAACCTTTGAACCCTCGAAACTTCCCAAATATTCATGCAAATAAACGATTTTTCTTAGCCAGGTTATACACTTACACAGTATAATTTGTACATCAAAACATAGACATTTTTGTTTTATTTCACCCAGTGTGTCTCCCAGTGCTGGAAGACTTCTGATTTCCTCTCAAACACATCCAGAGTGCAGAAAGTGCACTCCAAGCTCTAATAGACTACCATCATATCTGTGCTCTGACATTTTATTTTAACCGGAAGTTAAGTGTTTTAACTTGTAATATTTTGTATTATTTGTAATGTTTTTTTTTTGTAATATTATTTTTTGCAATATTTTGTAATATTTTTGTATTTCTTGTAATGTTTCTTAAATAAAACACTGTAGGAATATACAAAGATATATATATCAGAGTCAGAGATTCTTTATTGTCATTCGCAC